GAGAACACGTCCCGCATGCACTCACTTGTCCTTCCAGCGACACCCGCTAGCATTTGTGTGCAAGGCCCTCTGCTGGGCCACCACAGGGATGTGGGGTTGGCTGGGTCAGGCTCCTGCTCTCCAAGAGCTCACAGTCTAGTTGGGGGGAGACAACGCACACACATTAACAAGGTCTGCAAGGCCCAGGAGTGGCACAGAGCTGGGGAGGGGTCTGGGGAGCAAAGGGCATGCACAGGCAGACCCGGCTTTGTGGGAGAGGGCTTTGGAGGGAGTCCCCAAAGAGTTGATCCTGGAGACTCGGGGAAGACAGTGAGGAGGGAAGACGCTGCAGGGCAGGAGGCGCCGGCACCAAGACCCCTAGCCTCCCAAGCACTCCCTCTGCACACTGACTGGAACCCACCAAGGAGCTGAGAGTATACCTCAACCTCACAAGCTTCCCAGGAGGAAGCCGACGCCAGAGCACATTCAAAACGGAGAGCCGGAGCACATTCAAAATGGAGACACCACCATTTGGGAAAGAAATGAGCCAAGGGCCACAGCCAGCCAGCAGTCACCGCCCCTGCCTGCGGAGTCATGGGGGATCCTCCCTGGGCCTCACCCCCAAGTCCTACCCCTACCCCCGACTTTAGCAAGTCCAGAAGCAACAGGAAGCAGTGCCGGCCTGGCTGTGGCCCAGCTGCCGCATCACCCACAGCAGAGACGAGGCCGTCACCAAGCACACTAGGATAGGAAGGTGGCTCAGCACCAGACAGGGTAGCCTCCTGCCTGATGACAATCCTGACGGGGGGCAGGGTGGCCAGTTACCCCATCCTTCTGCCCCCAGCAGGACCGTGTCCACTCCACCAGGCTGCCCGAAGCCCTGGGCCCAGGTCTGGGCAGGCTCGAGGACACACGACGTGCGGGTGCACCTGGCAGAAGCTCCCTGGGCACTGACAACACATCACACACACTAGAAAAGCTGGCACATTTTATTAATGGTAGGTGACTAATAAATACATTATGGCAGCCAATAAATTATTACAATAACTAGAGATTTATTAAACCAACAAGTCACTCTTCTTACAAAATTACAGTTAATATGGGGTGGTGCCGGCGGCAGGGTTGGGAGGCGGGTACACTATACCTAAGAAGGTTTTGCTAAGGAGGGGGTGGGGCACCCGAGCCCACCCCCAGGATGGGGAGTGGAGCAGACAGGCTGCAGTGGAGTGGGAGGGGCAAGGGGAGGCAGAGGGTGTGCAGTGGGGCAGGGGCGGAGGGATAGTGGGGAGCCAGCAGGACAGAAAAGACCGGGAGGCAGGGGGTGAGGGGCTGGCTGCCCAGAGCTGGGGCCAGACATGGGCTGTGGGGGAGTGGGGAGACGGGTCACTGGAATGGCGGTGGCTCGGGGCTGCTGGCTCTGCTGCAAAGGGCTGTGGGTTTATGCTGGTGGTCTTGGTGCACTGGGCCTGAGGATGAGAGCTTCCTTTCCAGAGGGTAGCTCTCTCTTACCGAGGGGCTCCAGGACTCTGGATCAGGGCCATTCTTTTGGTTTTTCCCCAACCTGCTCCTTCTTGACAGGGGCCTTGGCCTGGCCGGAGTGGGGTCTGTCTGGAGGCCCCAGCTCCACTCTCTGGGCAGGTATGGATCAGGACTCTGCTCGCTGAGGGGCTGGGAGACAGGAGCCCTCCTAAAGACCCCATCACAGCAGTTTTCGCCTGGCTGCTGAGACCCTTCACTCTGTAGGTTTATGGCCCATCTGGGGGTGGGGTGGAGGAACTGTCTGGGGGTGATTGCCTTTGGTACCCTATACCAGCTGGAGCCTCAGGGCTCGGTCCCTGAGAACTGCTAGGTTGTGCCTGAAGGCTTCCAGAAGGCTCAGCGAAGAGCAGAGGCAGCCAGAAGAGATTGCACCCCAGACTTCTCAAAGGGGGCAGGTCTGGGGGAAAGAGTCTGGGCTCTCATTGATTAACCATTCTGGATTGTGGTGGACTTACTTGCCAGAAGGCTTAAAGAGTGCACTAATCAGACCAAGAAAAAAAGTGGTCAGGAAGGATGCAGGCTACAGAAAGAACTTCCAGAATCAACCCCTGGGCACCAACTGTAAAGCATGTTTGGTGGGAACAGGGGCTAATCTTCCTGTTGCAAGACTCATACTGGTGGAAGAGAAGGGCTTGGGTGAGCCAACTCCTGGGCCTTCCCTGAGGGGGGTTTGCAGACAGTCTGGTTACGGGGCTGGAGGGTGAGAACTTAAGGCTGGGGACATTCAGGGAAGCCCAGTGCCGTCCGTGGAGGGCAGGGTGTCTCTGGTTCCTGCTGGTGGGGTGTGGAGTAGGGCTGGGGGAAGCGGGCAGGGAGGCAGAGCAGCCTCCTGGCACCAGACATGGTGGTCTTCTGCCTGGGCTCTGCCCACCACCCCATGGTAGGAGCATATGGCCACAGGCCCTCTGGCTCTGCTGGGCCTAGAGGGGAGAGGAAGGAGCAGGGCACAGGACATCTAGAGTCTCCGCGGAACTCAGAATGCTAAAGCTATTGGTGAGGGGCCCACACCCTCCTCAGGCCAGAGTCCAACAGAGCCCCCCGTGGGCTTTAGGGACCAGAGAGCCTTGGGGACCTCTATCAGGGCTCAGAGGTAAGGCTAGGACCTGGCTCTTGTGATGGTTGTTGGTGCAGGGCACAGCACTTGCCCATAGGCATCCAGGTGGCAGGCACAATTTTCACGAGTTTGGCAAAGGTGCTCCTCCTAGAAATCAGTTAAACTCTAAATTCGAGCCATCCGGAGAGTTTAACACGCCCCCCTTGGGATCAGACACAGGGCCCCTGTGGATAAGAAACCACGTATCTGGTTACTCACACATTGCCCCCACACCCATATCCACGACGGAGCCAAACCTCACCTGTCAGCCTCAGGTGTCCCTCCCCACGGTGGAGCTGCCAGTGACAACATGTTTGGGGGTCCTTTCCTTGATGGGGGCCTTCATTTGGCTGCAGTGGGGTCTGTCTGGAGGCCCCAGCTCCAGACAGAGCTGCTGCACAGGGACAGAATTTCCTCCTGGACATTCTTGAAGGCCAAGGATGCCCCCACAGGCCAGGGTGGAAGGGTTGAAGGCAGCACAAGAGACTGAGCAGGACAGAGCATCTGAGAGCAGAGAAAGGCAACTAGGGTCCAGAGGGCAGGATGGCCTGAACACGCTGCTCCTCCACCCCCCGATTCCATGGATGGGAAGGCCTGAATCCAGGCTCGTGGCCCCAGCCTGCTGCTCTGACCACAGTGCCACTATGGTCTGAGGAAGGCAGCTGGGGGAGATGGAGAGCCCTGGGGTGGGAGGGCCAGTGGTGACCTCCACCCTCCAGGGTGATGGCCTTAGAGGTGGGGCTTGGCCAGCATGCCCCTCTTGTGAGCTGCTCCTGCATCTGGGGTCACCGTCTGGGGCACAGTTGGGGCACAGCAGAGTTAGGTTGATGCTGCCAGGAAATAACTGCCATGTCTTCAATGCAGGGCAAAATGGAGCTTAACTGGACCTGGCTGCCCATGGCAGGGCATTGAGACTGTTGGTTCCAAGGGTCTGTCCTTGGCCACATCCCAGCACCTGGGACAAGGTCTAAAAACACAACAGAAGTGAACAAAGCGGAAATGGACTTGGGCTGACGGGGGAAGCTCCTGCAGCCTGTCTGCCAGGGCAGCAGCAGGATGGCCAGAGCAGGGAGGTGCCCAGTCACCTGTCCCCGCAGGCATTTGGCACTAAGGAGGATTCCCTGGGTCTCCTGTGCACCACCCAGAGCTTTGTGCTTGGTGGATACACTAAGCCCACAGCTGTTGACACAGAGCTCCTCCTGCCTGAGGCAGTCCAGGGGGCTACAGGTGGGAGTCCAGAGTCCTGCCTGGCCTGGGACAGAGCAGTGTCCAGAGTGGAGGCAGGGAGAACAGAGGGTTTGAGGAGGGAGGCAGAGGTCTCCTGAGGGGCGGCTCTGTCCCCTCCCGGGGGCACATCTGGGTCCCTAGGCACAGCCTGCCATACAAGCGCATAGGCCTGCCTGGGGTGTGGCTGTGGCATCAGCCAGATGAGGCATCTGGGAGTGGGAGAGATGTGTGACTGCCCAAGGCCAGCTAGGACTAGCGTCATCAGGAGGAGCCACCTGCTCCTTTCTGCTCTGGCATCTCTGCAGCGAGTCTCCCTCTAAGGACTTCCACGTTGAGTTGGGAGCAGGGGTGTGCGTTTAAGCCAGCCTGGGCTCTTCCTAACTCACACTCCAGGGCGTCAGTCCCATCTGCCTGTCCCCTTCTGTCTCTAGGGGCAGGAAGAACGCCATGGGCTGTGGACAAACTCCCTGATTTCTTTACTGAGATCCAGCAAAGGCACTGGCCAAAGGGGCTTGGTCCACACTCCCAACCGGGACATCCCCAACCACAGGATCCCCAGCCCAAAGGCCTCTGTCTGCCCCTGCTGGTCTGAGTTGAATTCACTGTGGACTGGAGAAGGAAAATGCATCTACTCATACCTTGGAATGGTTGCCTGAGCCTAGGTGACTGGAAAAAGTAGACGGGTCACCCTTGGGCCTGCAGGGAATGGGTAGGAGCCCCCAGCCCAGTCAGCACAAGAGCAAGGAAGGATGATCCAGAGAAGGAAGGGCTGAGATCCTTGAACCCACACAAAGTCAGTCTGGTCCCACCCTGGCTTTTATTGACAGAGCTGCTCTTGACCAGAGACCCCAGGCAAAGCTGAGGGATGGCTCCTACTGCCCCCAACCTGCCAGCACCCTGCCGCAGGGCTGTCCCTGCCACCCACACCATCCCAAATGATAGAAGAACACTCCAAGACTTCAAGTGAGTCATCCAAGTGCAGGGTGTGCCCATTCAGGGCCAGACGGCGGCCTTGTTCCCTTCCCACCCCTGGCCTCCAGATAAAACACCGAGAGATGACGCAGAGACGGAGAGCACTGGGTCTCCTGGTCTTGTGGCATGGCGCTCAGCATACCAGCCCCGCCCACCCCCACC